GTTTCTTGCCCTGGACAGTCCAGAAAAAGGCAGTAAACCAGAAGTTTAGATCATTCTCCATGTGTGTCAGGTTGAGGTGCCTGAAAACAGCATATCCATTTCTTCTAGCTCAGTTTTCTTGACCTTTCAGTTCTTTCTTGGCATCTTCTGAATTGTTAAAAATAAAATCCTTATGAGGGCACTGGCAAGTGGTTAGCAAAGCTCATTATGGCAGCCTTCTACGTTCAGCTATTAAAACGATAAAAGTCAGGACTGAAATGGGGAAAGATAATTGTCTACTTTAGGAAAGGCAGCTGTCCAGTGACTGTCCTGGGGGGCGCGGTGAGCTAAGCCGTTTCCCGCCAAAGCAAAGAACTGTATGGGGACACCTCCCCGGCACGTGGCGGTTACACTCCTGAACGCACTAACCCTGCAGCCAGGGAGCCCTCCTGCTAAAAGTGCACTACCCAAATCTTTAAAAAGGATCTGCAGGTCATTACGGGTGAGATTCTGCTGCCCTGAGCCTGGCTGGGAGCGTGGCTGTGTTCCTTGCAGGGTACAGTGCTGTTCAGCGGGGGGGGAGTAGCAGAATCTGGGCACTTGAAGTAGTTAAAATAATTGTGGTCTTCTGAAAATTCCCAGTAATATTCAGATGATTGAGTTGTTTTTTAATTAGTGCTATATATTGGATGGACATGCATGCAGAAGGTTTTGTCTGCAGTATCTCTGTCCCATTTGGTAGCTTTCAGGATTATTGCAATTCAAGACAGTACATACACACCACTTCACAAGCCTATTGTCAGTCTTTTAAATGTATCGAGGACGATTATGAAATGAACTCTACCTCTGTGCCTTTTGTGACAGTATCTTCTTCACATGCATTGAATGCCACCTTTGCCTCATTTCTTCCAGCCCTGCTGTATTTCTGTTCTGTGAAACCTCCCTGTTAGCACGCTGACTGTGTTGATTCTGCTATTGCCCATCACCTTTCAGTTTTCTCAAGGTGAAATCTCTCTCCTAATTCAGAAAACTTTCTGTCTTCATTATGAGTAAGTGGCTTTGCCCAAAGCGTAACAAACCTAAACATAAGATGAAGTTAAGGCCTAGCCACATTTCATGCCAGAATAGTAAAGGCAGGGGGGAAGCATAACCATTTAACTTTTCCTTTCTGGGTTTTTTTTGGAGGAGGGAGGGATTGGGATTGAAGGTTATTTTCCAGGAAGGCACAAGTCTAATGAGCTCAGAACTTTTGCCTTAATTGTTTTCCTGGACCTGGGCATTTTTTTTTAAACACACCATCATCGTGCTTTAAATAACCATGTTACCAAATGAACATAGTAATGGGGGAAAATACCCTGTTCTTAACCGACTTGGAAGGATACCAGGGAATAATTCTTGCACAGCTAACATTTTTCAAATTCATTAAATATGTTTGCTCAGTAAGCTAGACATTTTATTGTGTTGTACTAGACCAGTATATTGGAATTACACTAATGTCTTTCTTCCCATCTCATGAATATTTCATGAATTACCCGCGTGCTCAGTGAGACAGCAATAATGAGGAATGCATCTGTTTACTTGTAGAACGAGGATCGACTGGTTTTTAATGCGGGAGTGGTACTGTTAGTTGATGGGTACCCTCTGTCTTCTGTGTGTCCAGTGGAACCTTCCTTACCGTTTGTTACTGTCAGACCGAGCAGGCTGGACCAGGGCAGAGTTCAGGTCTGTCGGCTGCTGCTGCCGCCTCACTGGCAATTAACATGGCTGTGGGTACAGTAGAGCGGCCTTTATTTTTAATGGCATTCCATTTGGTCCAGCTCAGGAAGGTTTTACATTTTGCTTAGTTGGTGAATTTAAGCTCCCAGTTTCTGATAGCTACAGAAACACAAACTAAGACCAAATCTCTGCATTTAATGACCTCAGTGAGTGTCATATAGCCACACCCATATAACCTTGCTTTCCATCAGCAAAAACCAATCAAATAGCTATTATAGGTGAATTAATTTCTGACCCTACAGTATAGATGACAGTAAGGCAGGAGTCTCTTGGGTGGGACTGTTCCTCACTTTACTAGCTACCTGTTTACTAGATGGGGATTTTCCTGAATGAATATCTCATAGGTGATGATGGTGGAAGGTGGTGACAGCCTTAGATGCAGAGCGGATTTGGGAGCGAGAACCACATCTAAATGAGGATAACAAAATGGCGGGGAGGATAAAGGGCATATGGAAGTACTGGAAATGGATTTACTATTTTAGCATTGTACCAAGTGTTGTCCCGTACACTTAAATAGAACTTCATTTATAGTATCAGCTGAATGGCTGTGATTTCACTAGTCTGGCAGCAGATTCTACCTGTGGAGCCTTTCAACCTCTGCTCTGCTCTTTTTTCTTTTAATGCAGTGCAAGTATAGGCTGCTTCAGGTTACTTTTCTAGTGTTCAGAAATGCATTCAGAAGTGGAAAAAATAGAGGATTCCCTGTATTTCTTGATAATAGAAGCTTTGCACAAAAATGTTCATCTGTCATGGTTATTCATAAAATGCATGGAGCAGATTTTATCTGCAAATGATCATGGGTCTCAAGGACACAAGATCATACACTCTGTTTATCGACACATTTTACAGTGTAAATGTGAATCTTTTATTTTCTGATAAAACATAGAACTCTAGGTATTTTGTTTAAGGCAAATAAACACATATAATTAATGCCTCCACTATTGTTTCCATTGGTTGCTTTCCATGTTAGTGTAGATGTTTATCTTCTGTAAGAACGGAGGAGGGGACAGTGGCACTGACCGTACCAGCCGCAACACAGAGAGAGGGAAGTCACGCGCTGGAGCCTTCCCAGCCTGCGAGAGAAGTTCAGCCAGTTTGCTGCCCCCCAAAAAGCTGTAGTCTGCTCTTCCACTCACTTTGAGCAGCTTGTGTCAGCCCTTTGGTACTGACACCAACCCTTCCTTCCGCCACGGGTATTTGTGTGGCTGGGCATATGCTGCCGGAAAATGGGCTGGATTAAAATGAGCTCAGGAAAAAAAATACTAAAAACAGTTGGGTGGGAAAAGAGTGGCTGGGACAAAGGGAAGGATTGCTTCGGCCACGACTTGTAGTCACGTATGTGAGCTTCACGTGTTTATAGACAGGTGTATTTTCCTGCTGTGCAACTTAGCAGAGTAACAGTGGTGAAAACGAAGGCAGTGTTTAAAATACATCACTGATTTGCTGTGCAATCTTAAGTCAGTCATTTAGCTGTCTCATGTGCCAGCTTCAAACTGAATATTGCTGGAAAACAGCTCTTACGTTTGCATTTCCCATCTTCTCCCCAGAAAATAAATTTGTACTTCCATTTCTCCTCTCCTGAAACCCTGAAGTTCTGTAGGACTACAGAGGGGTTTTCTGCAGTCTGCCAATGCTTAGCTCATTTTTACCTTTAAAGCACTGTCGCTTTTATTGCAGGAAATAAAATGTATAAATTACATAAATATAAACACATTAAAATATAAATTAATTTTTTTAATCTATTTTTTTAGCCTGATAGGTTGGGTATAGTTGAGGCTTCAGGTTGCCAAATTCCCGTTGGCACACTGGGTGACGTACCTTTGCACATAGGTTGCAACAGACGATAAAAAAGCAGTGAGAGAAATACCTGGTAGAGGACAGTGGGGTCACTGGTTATATATAGGAAGGGTTGCTCCAAAAATAGAGTACTGTTTGGAGGTAGATAACCTTAGGCTATTTCAAGGGCTATTGAAAGAGGTCTCTTTTTTCCTTCTGCTTTTTTGACCTCCCAGAGATGGAAGAGGATTGCTGAATAAGGAATGTCTGATCCCATTTACTTCCTAGCTGCCGAATTCCTTCAGTGCATATGGTTTATTGCACAGGCCCATTAATTGATCTGTTTTTCCATTTGTACAATGGTTGTAATATGGCAACAACGCTCTGTCTTCAGAGGCTTGCTGTTCTTTAACAGTTCTAAAAATTAAGTGCCCAGTATACATAACTCTTAACTTAAAAGGTATTCCTTCCTACAGATGTGCAGTGAAAAATAGTCTCTGACTAATGAATATCATTCTAGGATTTGATTAATTTCTCAAAGTAATTTTAAGAAATTGGACTTATCTGCAGTACCTCATGCATGTTTTCTGACTCATTTCTGCTTAACATAATGCACTAAGGCATTTTGAAATGGAGGTGAGTGAAACTGATATAACCCATAAAAATAGATGAATGGTGTTAGGCCATCTGATTCAGGCATGCAGTCCCGAGCTGCGGTATCCGTTCAGCCTTCCTTCACGTAAACATGCTAGCACGTGGCTGGATTCAGTAAACACTTCCCCAGCGCGTTTCACCAGCCGTGAAGACAGCCAAGCTGGCATTCGTGCAGATCTGTTTTTCCTGGGCTCTGTACAGCTTCAGGAGACTGTTGGAGCTTCTACTTACCATAACCTCTGGAACACTGGAGATATTCCTTTCACCTATACTTACTGCAAACTATGCTGCCTGCAGCTGTAGGTGTCCTGGAACCTGCAGGTCACTTCCAGCTCCATCATTCCCATTCTCTGTGCTCCCCTAAGCAATTGCTGCAGGTACAGCACTGACAGTACAGCTGTTGACACAGACCATGCACTGTCTTATATCTCCAATTATTCAGGAAAAGGAATTAATAACCCCTTTAAAAGCAAGATGGAAATTTGGAAAGAGTTTATTCCATGCCATAGGACCCATGTTGTCATTCAGCTTTCACTGCCGAAAACAAAGCCAAAGGCTCCTCTATGCATTCCCCCTCTGCTTTATTGTGTTTGAGACGGAAGGGTAATTGTGCTTGGCAAGGGTGGCTGGATTACAGCTGCCTTTGACTTCCAGGTTTTTTAGTGCTATCATGGGGCCTAACGGTGTACAGAACACTGATACAATGGGGAAAATGGGATTTGATTTCTTGGAAATTTAAAATAAAAAAAGAAAATTATTCTTTCCCTTTGACGACAATTGCCAAAAAAACAAATCAATTCTATTTTATTTTTAAGACTTGGAAGGTTTTGACTCTGTAATACCAATTGCTGAGAAGCTTAATCATCCAACTACAACCAGACCAAAAGCTACTGGCAGGCGACCACCCTCCCAGTCTCTCACGTCCGTAAGTTAATTTTTCCTTTGCTTTTAAACACGTTTTTTTCTTATACTTGTGTCCCCTGGTGTTTTTACTAGGCTTACACAGCCATTCCTTCACACGTACACCGAGGCAGAAAGATACAGCTCAGGAAAATCAGTGTGAAAAGGCTGCCGGTGTTTTGAATACTGATGTTGAAAACATTCCCTTCCTCCTCCCTTCCAAGATTGGTACCCCCTTTTTTGGGTGCTGCCAAGTATACCTTGCCAGCCATGACTGAGGAGGCCAGAAAAATCATAGAATCACAGAATGGTTTGGGTTGGAAGGGATCTTAAAGACCATCTAGTTCCAACCCCCCTGCCATGGGCAGGGACACCTTCCACTAGACCAGGTTGCTCAAAGCCTCCTCCAGCCTGGCCTTGAACACTTCCAGGGATGGGGCATCCTCAGCTTCTCTGGGCAACTTGTCCCAGTGCCTCACCCCCCTCTCCGGGAAGAACTATTTCCTGATATCTAATCTGAACCTACCCACTTTCAATTTAAACCCGTTACCCCTTGTCCTGTCACTACAGGCCCTTGTAAAAATCCTTTATAGAAATCTTCAGAATAAACCAGTTTGTGCTGAGCATTAAGGATTTTGTGTTTCGCAAAAGAAGCATTTCCCTTGGTTTCTCTGGGACATTTACCACATTTTGAGGACACACTGACTGTGTCAGCCTTCAACAGCTCTCCTTGAGCCATCAGGTGTTTCTCCTCATTAAGATCACTCTTAAATATAAGGGTGATTTAAATTTCACTCTCTACCATGGATCTTTAGACAAGCTGGTCTCATAAACCATCCTTTGGAAGTCACTGCTTAGTTTTACAGTGTCTCTTAGCTTGGGGTTTGTTCACTTCTGTGCTTTTTTGCATTCTGGAATATCAGAATGAGGGCAACTACTGATGGTTCATGTTGCTGAAGAAAAACAAAATGGAGGGAGCAAAAATGATGATTTGGAAACTAACAGAGAACAAAAAAGAAAGGTTTCAAAATTGACTATGTACCTAAACACAGAAACATAAACAACAGGTTCAAAGGTGTGTCTTCCCCTGTCATATCTATGGGGAAAGGAACAGGAGGTGGGAAGACCCCTCCCTGTTTGTACCTTTACAAAGAGGCCGTGCCCAGGGCAGCCCTGCGGAGCCAGCGCTGCACGCGGCCGGCAGCACGGATCCTCTGAAGAGCAGCCAGGTGAGCCCTGCCCTCAGCGAAGCCACGGCAGAGCTGCCCGGGCAGAGGAGCTGGCGTCCCCACAGCGCGGCGCTCGGCGTCCTAGCCAAGTGGGGCACAAGAGGGTGCTTACGTCATACAGTGCGATGCAAAGATGTGAATTAATGTCGAATTCAACTCAAGTATATCTCTTTTCATAAATGCTTTGAAAGCATTCTAGCCTTGGAAACAAGATGTAAAAATAGTTGGAGGCAGTGAGGGGGAGTCCTGATTTGAAGTATTTTTACTTTGAAAATGGTAACTAAAAATTAAAAAAAAAGTCATCGCATAAACACTGTTGTTCTTCCTTTGTTAAAGTCCTGTTCAATGAAAATACCTGCATTTTTTTTCCTCGTGTGCGGTGTGTGTGTTTGTCTACACAGTCGTCCCTTTCAAGCCCCGACTTCTTTGACTCACCAAGTCCTGAAGAAGAGAGGGAGGAGCATGTTTCTGTTACACACAAAACCATTGAAGTGTCAAGGAAATCAAGAACTGTTACAATATCACAAGTAAGTTAATTGGCATATCTCTGCTCAACCTTTTCACATGCATCTTCATTTTTGAAAACGGTATTCAAATGTTTATTTTTAAAATTTATGTCAACAATCACCTGGTAACTGGCCCTTTTAAAGAAGCTTAAAATGGTAAGGGTTACTAACGATTGTTCTGTGTTTGAAATGCAAGTCTAAAGTGAATTACACAGTTGAAATGTCTCCATAGCCATACTGTGAGATAATCCTTCTAGTGTAATTACATTTTACAGAATTGGAGAAGCTGAGGAAATAAATTGTAGAAACAAAGGCCCTTCCTTGTACCTGTAAATTAAGTTTATGTTAGAAGAGTCTGCGAGCAGAGAAAATACAACTCTTTGACCCACTCCAATAGAATGTGAATTTAAATTTGCAAGTATAATCACTCTTTATGCTGGTACAATTGTATTAATTTTATAGGCTTGTGCCATTCTTACTGTATATTGGTAGAAAACCATAGGATAATCGAATATCACAGAAGAAGCATGTAGATCAGGCTTTAGAGGTTGGAGCTATATTTTAGTACATAAGGATATGTTTAATAATACAAATATTACATTCTAATAGTAAAACAAAACTATTTGAAAGATGAAGCCATGGACTTCTGTGATCAGGTAATAAGGATAATGTTTTGCTTTGCAGCTCCCTCTTCTGGGAGCACTTGCATTAGGGAATGCTCTTGGGCCAACTTTTGTGTATTATATGCTGCCGTGCCGGGAATGTAGATGTTGTTCCTGTAAACCAGGATGACCCCTGTCAGAAAGTAGCTGCTTGAGGCCTTAATGCTGGTAGCCAGTTAAGCTCTGGAGTAAGGTGTTCAGTGTGGATGGCTCCCGTTGTACCATGCTGACTTGGTCCGGGTTTGAACTCAGCCTGCTGTTTGGAAACTCTCGAGTTTCCAAAGGAAATTTGCATCTACTGATAGAAGGATTATTATCCATGCAAGATCGTTTATAAGTACACATTGCTCACACATGCACACACCTGTATATAACACATTAAAAGAATATTACCACGGGGTTCCAAGGTAACTAGGTTAATGCTGCATTTCTCTGTTAAGTTCCTGGAGGATTCACAGAAGCTTGAGTTAACAGAGGACAGCACGGTACATTTATTTCTTATTAATATACTATCATTTTGAAGCCATTGGATTCTGGTTTTCTTTTTTATAACATACCAACAAGCAAACTTAAGGAATATTTTGCGGTCTTCGTAATGCTGAGGGCAACATGTAAAACATGAATTTTTAAAAAACGTTGAGTATTGAAGATTCCTTCAATGGTTGGTTGACAATCATAAACTTAATCTGCAAAAAAATACAACTTGGATTCTTGGCCATGCGGTTTTGTGCTCTGCAGGAGACATTCATGGATGTAGGTGTGTTCTCACAAAAACTTCTGGGAGAAACACTGAGCACCTGTCTCTGGTTCATGTCACGGCTAGGTCTGACATCTTGGAAATGCTTGTTGCTGGCTGGTTGTAGCAACTGTCGAAAGCCTTACTGAAGCTATCTGAAGTTCTGCATCCCAACTAGACCCCATCTGATGTACATGTACAAAGATAATGTCTAATTGTTATAGTTATCATGCTTTGGCCAAAACTGTCCACATTTGACTGTGGACATTGAACATTACTGAAGGGCAGCAACATCCTTAATATTAGCTAGAGGTCTGACTTTCATAAAGCTTTCTCCAGACATTAAGTGATATTCTTTTTGTTGCAGGTGTCTGATAATAAAAATTCCTTGCCTCCAAAACCAGGAGGCTTGGCTAGTGGCAGTAATGTACAACCATCACTATCCCCTTCACCGTCTCCTGGATTTCACTCAATTGCTATGGGAACAACAGGTCACAGGTCAAATTCCCCATCCCTGTTTGGTACTGAAGGAAAGCCAAAGACTGAGCCCTTGAGCCAAGGTCAGACTGCCCTGGAGGAGCTGAGAACACAAATTAAGGAGCTAAGAACCATCATTGAGACCATGAAAGACCAGCAAAAGTAAGTACTGCAAATCACAGCTGTAGGTGGGCTGCATCCGTTCATGCCTGGTGGTGGCATTTTCTCTTGGAGCTTGCCTTCATCAGTGTTGCTCTGCACAGTTTGCCTTTGTGTTCATGGGTGATTTTCAGCTGACAGAACACGTTCGGGGGCAAGAAGCTCAGGATAAGAGACTGGCACTGTCCATCTGTAACAGCTTTTTTTCCCTGTGTTAGGAGATAAGCAGATGTTTATGGGGTGTTGAAAAAGTTAAGTTACAAGCTATGAGCAGTGAGTAAGGTTCTTACATTGTGTTATTTGCCAGTAACTATTTGGGAACTCTTGTGCATTGATCTTAATAAGGGGTGCATTTGTTCTTGTTGGAGTACAAATTACTACAACTTCCTAAAATTATTAAAGCAGTGTGTCGCTTGACTGTTAGACCATTTTCCCAGGAAGCTGATATTGCAAAGAAAGTAATTGAACTGTGATTAGGACATTTGAAGACATTTCTGTTTATGATCCTGAATCTTAATGTTTTAATGTTGGATGCCTTTATTTTCATTAAGCTGCTCATTTCTTAGGAAAAACTGGGGCTGGCATATAGCTTTTGCTCTTCCTGAGAATATTTTATGTTTTGGAAGCTAAACCTTCACTTCCATTGTCAGTTGGATGTAGCCCAGCTGGAAAAAGAAAAGGGAAAGCAGCATGCAGAGACTGGTGGAACAGAGGAAGGCAGTGAGTTTGGGTGTAGATGCCGGGAGGACATGGTTCAAGCTGGATCTGGCCAGCAAGCCCTATGGCTTTGCCTCCAAGGCTGACCCCTGCTCCTCTGGTCTCCTCAGCCCTTCTTGCAAGGAAGCAAGGTTTCTGTCTTAAGGTGAGATCACTCAGTGGGAAGACGAGAAGGTGTCTCCTCCTTGTAGCTATGTTCTCCTTCCCAACAAAGAAGGATGACAGCATATCCATATTTGGGATTGTTACGTCTTTTAAATGAAACTGAAGGTTACGTGGGATTGCTGGCATAAACAGCTCTTGAGGGGCTTAAGGATTTGTGTTACCAGTTCCTGTAACCTGCCAGCAGCCAATCTATCTTCATTTTGTATGGAAAAAAGGGCAACTGGGTGCTGATGGAGTGTTGATACAGCTAGTCCAGAGCAAAGCCAGAGGATGCAGCACTGCTAGGAGGAAATGTATTATTCATTAGCTGGGGTGGGGGGAGGGGTACTGTCCTTGTGGGGACGGTCTCACTTCTCTGCAGCACAGCATGAAGTGTACAGGAGCATACTGACTTTATCAGTTGTTCAGAGGAAAAACATAACTAGTGAAGCAGGAAGATACGTCTCCAAGGGGTGATCTTTTCAATCTGACTAGTTTAATCGTTTCCATTCCAAGCTTTTTTTTTTGTTGTTGTTGCATTCTCTTAACAGAAAAGAGATTAAACAGTTGCTGTCTGAGTTGGATGAAGAAAAGAAGATCCGTCTACGATTGCAGGTACTTAAATTATTTATAATGTTATAGAAGTATTGGCAGGTTTGATTTATTCTCAGGTATGGGATATAAACCCTGCTAAGACACTTAGGTTCCAGTGAATCAAAACCTACTAACATTTCTGAAAGAGGTGCACCTGCTCTCTTCACAGTGGTGCCAGCCTGTGTCATAGATATTGCAATACTGGCTTCTTACTGACAAGCCTGATAATTAACTAAAAAATTATCAGCACAAATAGACAAATTAAAAAAAAAACAAACACCACACCACCACAACCCAGCAATTAATTAAACACATTATAGGATTAAAACTATGATGATTTTTAGTCTCAGTTTTAGTGGCTTGATTTTGTCACAAATGAAATAATGTCTTTTTTAAATTACTTGCTCTCTCCCAAAGCTTTCTCTTTTGTAGTAGGTTTGTCTTAGTGTTGATGTGCTTGGAATATTATTTCATATAGCAAGCGTTTTATGTCTGCTTTACACACTGTACTCAGGTTGCCTTTACTAAAGGATTCTGACCAGTATAAAAGAAAGTGCTCAGATTAAGAGCCCAGGTACTGCCACCACAGTTGGTACAGTCCCTTAGCTCTACATGTTGTCATGCTGGCTCAGTCATTTGCCAGGTAGCGCACTGCCCTGCCTGGGCGAGAGTCATGGAGCTGAGCTGTTGCTGGGATCACCGACTGTGCTGCTTCAATGTGGGACGGCGTTGGAACTGCTTCTCTGGGGGTTGGAGAGCTATTTGGAGAATACCCGTAATAACATGCTTTAACTTGGTGAACCCTGAATTGCTCAGGCAGTTGGACTAGAGGATGGTTGTAGGTCCCTTCCAACTGAAGTAGTCTAGTCTGTTCTGCACTATTCTATTCTATGTGCTTGATAAGTGGATTAATATTGATTCTATTTTATATTTTTATGGGACAGTTCAACTGTACTTTGTACTAGGAATAGAAAATCGAACTGTAATTACACTGGGCTGTTTCTGCTCAGTAAATTGCTTGGGAACGTGGCAAAGGGTGGCAGAACTGGGGACCATCGATGTCTGTACTCCAGGGCTGCCTGAAGGACTTCATGTGTGCAACCACACAGGAGTATGGCTTCTAGTGACACATTCAAATTCATTTGAAACTTATTCAGATACAGTCGATGAACATTTTTAATATTGGTTATTGATTTAGTCTTACAGGCCGGACTATTCAGAGGTCTGGAATCTACCTCCAAGGTTGGATTTACGTCTTTATACAGAGACCTGCATTGATGGTTTTAAAATTACCATCTAACAGCTGGATGCTTTTACTTCGGTTCAAATGTTGCTTACGCTGGTGAATGTCCAGCTGCCAGCCAAGGTGGCATCATCAGCTTTATGTGAAGGCGAGAGTGCAACAAACAAAGGTTGTGTTGGTTTAAGAGTGCCCTGATAGCCACAAAGTCGCACAGCTCTTGGCCCGTGTATTAAACTGCCTTGATGATCTGGGGCAGTTGAGCACCGCGGGTGTGTTTGAATAGATCTAGTACCCCTGCCTCAGGCCTTCCAGCGCCCATCAGAGGTGCCAAGTGTGCAACGAAGGCCAATGATGGGTTTGGCCACATCCTTTTACCGCACGCCTGTACATCCGTCAGAGCCCTTAAGGTGCCTGGACGCAGGCTTGATGAGTGCAGAAGGCAACCCCCAGCCCTGCAGCAGGAACCATCCCGAGAGGAGAGAGACGACAGGTTTTGCCCTCAGCTGCCAGTGCTCAGTGCCAGCAGCTGAGTTCACTTGTGCCAGGTGGAGGTGCGGCAGCTGGTGCTGGACACGGTGCTCGTTCTGCACGCAGTTCCTGGCAGCGAGCTGCCTGGCTTATGAAAGTTGTAATTTAAAGAGTTTGAAAGGTCTGGTGGTACATTCAGTGGCTGCACTTCTCAAGCTCTGAGGGCAAGAAGCCGTGAGTGATCATCATGCAGCTGAGAAGGTCCCCTCAATTTGTGAAATCTGTGGAAATAAGAGCAGTGCGAGAGCAGTACTCACACCTGTGGACAAGATGGAACACGTGCTTTTCAAGCGGCAGCAACTGGGCCTCAGTTTGTTAAAGCATCTCATTTCATCACGATTTTTTTTTTTTGTTCTTTTCAGATGGAAGTTAATGACATAAAGAAAGCTCTTCAATCAAAGTGAAGTACTTGATAGGTGGAATGTTGCATTATTCTTCATGACTGAGACTCAAATTTATGCCCCAGCCAAAATAACTTTGTGCCAAATGATTTAAGAATTGCCTCAACATCCCTTTATTTGAAGGATTAGCACAACAGTTTTTGATAGCACAACAAGGACAAAATCTCCACCCGAAGCAGTGCTGCTCCGCACTAGTTGTGACTGAAATTGATCTTCTTGTGCTAAAGGCTCTCTACTTCAAGATCCTAGGTGAAATGAAAACTCAGGCAGTTTAGTCCATAGTGGTACTATTTTGATGATATTTTTCCATAAATAAAATGTATTTCAGATTATCTGTTTACAAGCTTTATGATTTTGACTTTTGGGTTTTAATTGTCTTTTCTCACAGATTTTAAGACGTTTGTACTGCGTATAGCCAGGAGCGAATGTTAGCCTTGGGGCTGGAGGGATTATTTTTGCTTCGACATAGAACAGCCTACCTTTTGTTACGGTTTTAAGTTCTGTTAAATATGCAATTTTATGTCCCCCAAACCTCCTACAGTTTAAACTTAGGTTGTGTACAGCAATGGATTTACAAGAAGGAAACAAACCAACAGAAATCCGGTCTTTGCAATGATTTTGTGCCTTTCTTTGCCACACACGCTGACCAGAGCCGGTCGCGAGGCAGGTCTCCCTCATGTAGCTACCACGACGAGTCCTGGCCACGGTGTCCGGCGGGGGTCACCTCCTCGGTGTCAGCAGAGCCAGGTTTGTGCGAGGTGGCCGGGCAAAAGGGCGCAGCTGAGAGCAGCTTTGTCTTGAGCAGCTGTGGCTTTTTAGCTTCCCTGGGTTTGATAGGCCTCTTCCTCAACTTGAATGTTCATCTCCGCTTGATTTTCATTTAGATGATTTAAACGCCCGCCTCTGTCCCCAGTTTTGCACAGAGTGAACAGAATATGCATTATTAAAGCAAAAATGAATAAAAGTAATCTATAAAACGTGAATAAAAAGTTGTATTATTTCATGCACGAGGTTCTCTGTTGTGTGACATTGTTTCATTTGCTGGTTACGTGGTACTGTTAGCTACATTATATTGTACACTTACAGAGGGATGTGTCTCATGGTCCTGTTGGGGCAGCAGGACTCTCTTTTCCTCATTCTATTGAACCTGATGCTTGCTTCATTTCTTCCAGTTTCTCCGTTTGCTTTCATCCTCTCCAGATAAGGTCTCCCATCTTTCTGTTTGTGGCTTTGTGTGTTCGTCGCGAGCCGCAGGGCACCTCACACCTTGTCAGCAGTCTCTGCTACGGAGTTTGTACAGGGCCTTTAAATAATGGACGTTTTTGCAAGCATGGAGCGAGTGGGTGAGTGGTATTGGTGATGCTTCGGAGTGACAAAAAACCCACACAAAGGATCTCTTTGTCACCTCATCAAATGCGAGAGCTGGCTCTGGCCAGCATATCCTGTGTCACAGCTAACCGCCCTGCCTGCCAGGAGCTGGGGGAGACATGGAGTTCAGTTGGCTGGTCCCGTTCCCGCAGGGTTGGCAGAATTCCCATAAGCTCTTGGGTATGCACAGATACATAAAATACACGCTCCACCGTACCCGAATCTCACTTTACGGGTCTCAAGTGGCAGTACAGAACCTCGCTGTTGGGCTGTTTTTCTCTTCCATAGCACCTGTTTCTGCTGTAACAGTGATGGCTGAGGTGGAAAGGTTGGGTACTGAAATGTGAGAACTTTTAAAAAAGTCCCAGTCCATCGCTGAGTGTACTCAAACAGAAGGACTGATAAAATATTTTATCACTGAAAGGCTCTTATTTAACATTTCTAAATAACTGCATTAAAATATTTTTGTACAAAGAATGACACTCCCAGCATAGCTTTCCAGCAGTAAAGATGTCTCGATTACTTCCATGTATTTTGTGAAGTTGTTAGCAGAGTTAGGAGAGGAGGAAATGAGGATAAGGAATGAGAATTATGTTTGGATTTGCGGTCATACATCTGCGACACGCATCCAGAAATGAACAGCTCTGGCTTCCTAACTGCATCCCTGGAAAGGGATAAACTATCATATCTGTGGTAAATAGAGTGCTGGTTCCTAAGTTGTAGCTCGGAAATGTAAGAGACATCCCAGAATTGTTGCAGTCTTTGCAAATGGAAGTCTGGAGTTGGCACAGAGTTTCCTTATACCAGATTACAGTCGTCTTTTTTTTTTCCTCCCCTGTGGAGATGATAGCTTGTCGTTTTATAAATCCACGTTAGAAGTCCAACATACGGCGCTGTGTAAAAGGAGGTTAAAAACAATTTTGCGAAAATGCTTTGTTTCGAAAGTTGCTTGTTCTGGGAGTTTGCAGAAATATAACACAATTTTGCGAAAATGCTTTGTTTCAAAAGTTGCTTGTTCTGGGAGAAGAGAGTTTGCAGAAATACAAGCTCTTCTTGCTGCATTTCACGTTAATAATAGAAATATTTCACATAAGACATGGATTTTTCCCTTTTTAAAGAGTATCAATTATGCATTAAACCTGTGGATATAAACTGCTTTCAAAAATGTTTGGGTTTATATTTAAAGAAAAAAACAGAAAATGCTGGTGAGCTACAGTGATTTTGTTGTGAAAATGATTAAATATTGCTGTTCGAAGAGCTGTATAAAAAGACTTTTCATGAATATGCACAAACCAGTCTTGTGGCAGACTTCTGTTTACGTGTAGAAGTCAGTCAGGTATGAAACATCAGGCTCATCCCTTTGGATGCTAATACAGATCATATGACTGGGAAAATGTTTAGGTTATTAAGAAACCAGGTTGTTGTTCTCCTTATGTTCTTTTTTCATCTCTAAAAGGAGCAAGTTATTCCTTAATGTGAATCGCAGCACTTAGCACATTAAAAAGTTCTACATGGAAATAAGGTGGTAAATGTTCAAAGTGTTTATTAAGTTCTGTTACTTAAATTTCATCTTCTGTGCTTTTCTTACTGATCATCCATTTGTAAATGAGCAAAGGGCTTAGATGAATCTGTTGTTGCGCTAACGGGTGAGAGAGGATTGAACGCAACTCTGTGTGGTAAATTTTTGTTTCCAGGTGTATGATAGCCAGCTGCCCAGTGAATTTTGTGAGCTGCTTTGTGTGTGAAACACCCGTAGGAGTGCCGCACCCTGACAGCCGGGACTGAAATGGGCACCTGTGACAGCAGAGTGACAGAACCCTCTAAAACACCCACGGAAATTCACGTTCTACTGCCGTTAAGGAAACATTTTGCTCATCCTGTGGAGTTGGCTCACATCAAGGCAGGCCCTGCTCACCCTCCACAGCCAGCTGCCCGGGGGCCGTGGCGTTACCAGCCCCTCTGCGCCGCACCCCGTGCGTGGAGCCTGCGCTGGCACACAAATACGATGGTTCGTGGGTCCACAGACAGCCAAGCGCCAGAAGCCGAAGTGGGAGTGCAGCTGGCGTGGGGGTGATGTGCAGTGCCGACGCCTGCGGGCAGGGCCCGTCAGCAGCCTCTACTGCAGTGCCGGGGGCACGAGGCCCCTGGTGCCTACTTGTCCTCTGGGGAAAGGGCCCTGGGGCTGGAAATGGCCCAGAGGCACACTGATGGGGGAAGCATGAAAGCTGGTTAGAGAGAAGGTACCTTTCACACGGGCGGGCTGTGGTTCGAGAGGCTGAAAAGTAGAAACAACCAGCCACTTCTGCGCTGAGGCGGCTTTTCAGACATGGGTGGGGGAGGGGGGGCAGCGCACTCCTGGTCCCGCAGGCCTCAGCAAGGAGAGGGTCCTCCAAGGACTGACATCTTTTTGGGGCAGTCCTGAGTGAAAAAAGAGCCAGAGAGGGTGGAGCTGAACCCCACACACTAAACACTGGGTACTGGTATCCATGGTTATTAATACTCTTCAGCCAGAAATTACATTTCGCTTGGCACCTTTGGCCTCAGCTGACTCTTGAGCTGGCCTAGGAATTAGCAGCTGGTTGCGTATGCCTCAGCCCATTCACTCCCTGCTTCCTGCAGCTGCTTCCCTCCTCCCGCTGTGGTCCCTTCCTTGCCTTTGGAAAATAACCAGGTCATCTGCCCTGAAGATGAGGGGATGCCAGCATTTCCCAGCCTGGAAGAGCAGCTGAGGAAGCAAAAGACACATTTTAGATGTCAGCAAGAAGCTGCGGTGCTGTGTACGCGCTCTTGGGATTGAGGGGCCTCTTCCAGCAGCCAGAGCTCCAGGCCACCCTCCCCTCCGCCTTCTCTGTGAGGAGCTCACCACACAGTTGTTTGGTGTTAGCTCTGTTAATTAGTACAGTTTCCGATTGCACACAGGCACAAGCTTTTACAGGTAGCTGGTGGGAACCCCTGGCAGCCTCTGGAAGAGATGCTTGAGAGACTTCGTGCTGCCACAGTCAGGCTTCACTTGAGCCAGCAGAATTTCCCCTTTCAGTGCTCGCAGTTCCACGAGTAGACAGTGGAGGGGAGGAGGGGGTGGAGTGCAAACAGCTAAACTCACCAAATGGCTCAATGCCCATGTGCATTTTTAAAGAAAAAACAATGGAAATTTAATCGTATTTTAAAATGCATTAGTGCTGTAGGATGAAAAATTTAAGAAAGAAGTTCATTTTGGTGAAAATGTTACCTTACAAACTGCAGTGCTACCTTAGTGTATTTTAGCTAGTTCATTAGCTATTAATTCCAGACAAATCTCTAGAACCATGAGAATAATTGTCCCGACACATCACAAAGTTACAACAGCGAGGCAAGGCCTACCGACCTCTTTCTGCCCCTCGGATAAGCAGGCTTTGAACTCTTTGTTAATGCAGGAAAAGCAGCTGGAGAATGTAGCCCTTAATAGTCACAGGAAAACATAATTGGCTTTGATTAGCATGATCTTAAAAGTTGTAATAGGCTGTTTCTCTTGGAGGAGGAAACTTGAAAATTAGAACAAAGCAAATTAGAAGAGACTAACCAGGCTTTACAAGCCATTTTGAATGTCAAAACCTTAAAGAAGTACCTGTTTTCTAAACTTTCTCTGGCAAAGCCCCTTCACTGTACCCAGACCTGCCATTTTCATTTGCTGTGGGAGACCAGCTCTGCCCTGCACGCTCTGTCCCAGCTAGTGAACAGCAAACACGCTTCTGCAGAGGGACACATCGGGCTTGGATAATGGCAACAGAGAGTGTGGGATTCTGTGAGAGCACTGCTTGGGCTCTTCTTAGAGGTAGTGAAAATCAAGCTGAACAGCTGTCCCTGCCACAGGATGACGGTCACCTGGGTTTATCCCCTTCTGGGGATGGCATTGTGGTTTAGGCCCAGCCAGCCGCTCACTCACTCTTCGCAATGGGATGGGGAGGAGAAAACACCAAGAAAGTCTTGTGGGTTGAAACAAGGGCAGGGAGAGATCGCTCAGCAGTTACGGTCACGGGCGGAACAGACTCGGGGGAGAAAAAAATCTATTTAACTTGTTACTAATCAAATCAGAGTAGGACAATGAGAGATAAAAACAGATCTTAAAACCACCTTACCCCCACTCCCCTTCTTCCCAGGTTCAGCTTTGCTCCCCGTTTCTTTACAATCAGCATAGGGGGATGGGGATTGGGGGTTGTGGTCAGTCCACCACACATTGAC